CACTTTCTGAGAACTGGATGAGCTGTATCTAAAGTAAGATCAGGCACCATCATAAGATTAGAACACCAAGCTTTGTTTGCTGAGAGACAGAATAACAGCTTCATCACAAATACAGAATTTACTAAATAAAGAACACAAGACTCCAGTCAGCAAAAGTCCTGTCAAAAGAATGCTGTCCAGCAGTGATTTCCACATCTCAGGAGGGAAAACAACAACAAACACTTGGTGTGGAATGAGACATATTGTCAGGGGGCGATCAGGAAATCAAAAACTTACGTGACTGCGGCAGACAGGTGAACAAACCAAAGGCAAGGCAGCTGGTGATCCAGCAAAAATAAGTCCATAACGTAAGAAAGTAATCCAAACTAAAGGCACTGGGGACAGATGGATTGGCAGGTGGATCTGCTACATGAACACAAGTAAGATACAGAACTGAAGAGGAAGCATGACACAGGTGGAACCAATCAGAAAAGGGGAGGAAGTAAAGCAACCAAAGACATATGAGGACAGAGAATTTCAAAATTAAACAGGAAGCAAAGTACAACAACTCAGACCATGACACATACAGTGTCTCACAGTAGATCATGGTAAAACTAGTTCTGTTAACTGAGGAGTTAGAGAATAGTGTCAGTAACAAAAGGGTGTTTAGAAAGAATAAATACTTCAGCAAATGAAACACAAAGCAACTGCTGCAACACTACACATCCATTCCAATCAATGAAACCGATTACACCAGACGTGAGCAGAACGAAAGGGGAAACATTGGCTAGCCTTCTATTTCTATAATTTATGTGGCATGTGCTTCGTTCTTATGTTGTGCTGTACAAAAGCTCACCATCTTGTTTTGTCTCTGACTCCCAAAACTCTGTAGTATATGTAGGGTGTAGGTGTTGCCTTAAAAAAACATATATATATATTTCATTACATCCACTATCTGCACACAATATATCACGACGCTCTGATATTCACGGACTTTCACTCAAATTTTTAAGCACATATTTCTTCTCCTTCTGCAGTTTCATCTCCCTCCAGCTCATAGCAGTTGTCGGTGTATTGACAGAGACTGGTTTCATGTTCACAAACTTAAAAAGTGCACTCATGTGTTGGCTTCATATTTGTATTTCTTTGACCTCTGAAACTCGTACGTTATGGAAAGTTTGCTCTTGAGGCAGCACTTATCTCAGTCTTGCTGCGGTTTTACCAGGATGCTTATCGTGCCTGGAAGGAGGCATTTAACTTTTGCCTTAAAGGCTGAATTCAAGGATCAAAATCTCTGCAGTGAACAACTTGAATTACACAAAAGCCCGTAACATGATGGACTGCAGCCTTACTGAGCAAGAAGAGGACTGATACCTATCTTAGAGTACAGCTGAATTCCCCTGCAGAGTGTTAGTCCATTAATTCATTTTCTTGCAAGCTAAGCGTGGTATTTCAAACATCCCTCTTCGCGGCAATGTTTTCCAGCTCCTCCTGGGGGTATTCCAAGGCATCCCCGCGTCAGAAGAGATATGTAATCCCTTCACAAGTTCTTGGTCTACCTCGGGGTCTTCTAACATCTGCGTGTGCCCGAAAAAAAAGCTCCAAAGGAGGGCGCCCCGGAGGCATCCTCGTCAGATCCCTGAACCACCTGAGCTGACTCATTCTGATGTAAAGGAGCATCGACTTTATTCCGATCTCTGTTGGATGTCTGAGCTCCTAACTCTCATTTCGTTTTGGCTTTTTCACATTCTCTTGGTCACAACTCACAACTCAGGTATAGCTGAAATGTAGAGCAACAGGTAAATTGAGTTTACTAGCATATAACATGATCTCTGCATGTCACATTGACTATCCATCCATCCATTATCTATACACCGCTTAGTCCTCATTAGGGTCATGGGGGGCTGGAGTCTATCCTAGCTGACTCAGGGTGAAGGCAGGGGACACCCTGGACAGGTCACCAGTCTATCACAGGGCTACACTTAGAGACAGACAACCAAGCACACTCACATTCACACCTACGGACAATTTAGAATCACCAATTAACCTCAACATGTGTTTGGACTGTGTGGGAGGAAGCCGGAGAACCCGGAGAGAACCCACGCTGCACGGGGAGAACATGCAAACTCCACACAGAAAGATCCCCGGTGTCCTCACCAGGACGCGAACCGGCGACCTTCTTGCTGCGAGGCAACAGTGCTAACCACTGCGCCACCTTGCAGCCCTGACATTGACTAAATAATTACTATTTAATGAAAACTTTATTTACCCTAGTTTTCAGCAATGCCATATAGTTTGTTTCCTAATTTATTAAATGTCTTTCAGCTATTTTGTAAAAGTTAGGTTAGACTGCAAATGCCAGGTGGTCAATTTAGCGCCACACTAATATTACAGCATGTGAATGGGCCTTAAATAATATAAATCATTAGATCTCTCTCTCGTGCACCAATCTACTGAATGTTCCACTCTTTTACAGGGCGGCTGTGGCTCAGGTAGTAGAGCGGGTTGTCCTCTAATCATAAGATTGGCAGTTTGATCCCACCCAACATGTCAAAGTGGCATTAAAGTTGCTCCCACCTCTCATCTGTCGCCACTGGTGCATGAATGTATGAACCACTAAGGCAGAAATACGCCATATAAGTACCAGACATTTACATTCAACTACAGTTTATATTTTTGCTTTGTTGCCATGTACAAATTTACATATTTCAAGAAGAAAAGACAATTTGACAACAATAGCAGTCAACAAAAGCCTCATACTGCTGCTCCACATAGCAGGCCCGTTGTTTGGCTTCTTGTGTATTTTCCATCCTCGGTGACTGGATCTATTGCACATGGAACCGGCAGGATTTCTCTGCATTACTTTCAGTGGAGATTACCTCACCTGCCAGCTGTTCCTGCCTCATCTATAAGCAGGCAAAGCATAAACAGTGTGCACGGGATAAATGTTTCATCAGTGAGGGCTCGGGAAGCTTTTTCTTTTTCGTCATCCTCCCTCTCCCTTTTTGTCAGAGCGATCGGTGTAGAATGACATTATCACAAAAACAGAGTGTAAATGCATTAACTTAAGCTGTGAAGCTAATTTAGGCCAAGTTAATGTGGGTACGTAATATATGAGATAAATCTCCTCGTGCATAAGGAAATTAATTTTGAAATGATCAGGTTGTTTACTTGTCCCTCTGCGTGTTAATGCACAAAATGAGATTTACAATTTGATACTAGAATGGATGTTAATTTGCTCATTATTGTAGCCATTATGCTGTATATTCTATTAATTCTACCTCAGGGCTCAGAAAACCAATGTCTGCGGTATAAATTATACATCTCCTTTGATTAAAATACTCACTTTTCTCTTGTAAAGATACAAAAACAGCTAATAGAGCTACAGCTACCATATGGATGTACTCGTTGTGTAATCGTTTAAATCGAAGCACATAAATAAATTAAAACTACTTGAAATATTAAGACGTGTTTTCCTATCTATTGAACTGCTGGTAAACACGATGTTCCCCAAAGATAATGCAACTTTAAACAGGTTACTGTATTTTCTGCCTTTAAGGGCGGCTACTCTGTCTGAGCATATTACACATGTGTCCGTTGTGAATGCACAGGCCTGCCGCAGTCCTACGGTTACGTGAATGAATTTGACAGTTCAGGGACCAGCCTGCCTTAAATGTACATGTAATTTCATTTGAAGCTTGAAGGATCTAATGAGCTCTAATAAGAGGAGAAGCCACGTGTGCTTAATATCCATGGATTATTCATTTAACAGGAGACAGGACAACATTAAAAATTTGTGAGGTTAAATTTTGTAACTGCAGCTCCAGCCTTGTTTCGCGGCTATGTGGGAGTTCAACCCAGTGAACTGTTCATTTCGGCCAATTGTTATGCTTGATATCAAGGGAAGCACTGTGCCCCAACAACACCTTACCACAGTTTATTTGGAGTAGCTGTCATTAACCTCAGGGTTGCGTGTGGAGTTTTCTCATAAACTAATAGTGTTTCTCTCCATTCTGCAGTAATTACACAAACTCTTGTCTAACAAACATGTTAAATGCGTGTTCTTCCTTCAACCAAAGCTTCAAATTCAACATCATGTGCATCGTCATCATGCCTACTAGTCTCATGTTGCATTGCTGCATCGTGGCTCATTATCACCTGTTGATGGGTGGCCCAGTGCGAAACCATTGGCGTGAATGTGCATCACATCAAAGACATGTTGCTCGGCTTGTAAGCGCATGAAAACAAGTCATAAATAAGGGAAGAGGTTTGGAGCTTCACCACTTTCAAATCAAATTATAATGTTTCGGATTAAAATATTGAATACATCTATGTTTGCAGCAAGTCCTTGTACGTACTTAACCCTCTCCACTGAGACCAGGCCATGCCTCTTATTGTCATGTAAAGTTTGCTAAGCATGACACATTCATTAACAAGGCCACCTGATATTACTCTGATAAAAAAAAATTATAATAAAATAAATGTGTCGTTTTTATTCAGATAAATCACATGCCGGAAGTTTTTAGAATATGTCCAGCTACATCAGTGTCAGCTGTTCTTTACTCTATAATTTGGATGAAGCTGAAGCTAAAATGCATTTCAGACCTTGCTCCGGCCTAATAATAGAGACTTATTATATTGCTCTATTATTCCAAGTGTCTCTTATCCATAGAATCTGTTGTGTATCAGTGGTGGAGCTGTCACCCACTGAATTCTGGGATGTTTTTCAGGTGGAAATCGTATAAAAAGGTCTAACTGTCTTTGATGTCAAAGCGCCCGAGACTTTCATATCAGTCTGTTCCAGTTATAACATCCTTTGTTCCGAGATACGAACCAAGGAAGAAACAATCTCACTTTGCTGTCAAGGAAGTTCAGAGGATTCAACCACTTTCAGTGTCACAAACTGTATCACCTTCGACTGAATAAGACTTCTCCCCAGCCTTCAGGAGCAGACGTGATTGTCACAGTCAAAAAGCCTGGATGTACCATGACCTGCAGTACCACTGCGAGACAGGGGAAAGCCTTGCAGTGGAAATCTTTGTGTGGATTCCTGCTGTGAGCGAGAGAACAGAGGATTTTCACAGTTAGAAAGGATATTTCTGCCATGCTGAGAAAATAGAACTGCTCCAAATGAAGAATAAAGCAAGCTCTACATATGTTGATTTCAGCAGCTTTACTTTCAACAAAGCTCAGTGTTCTTAAGCTGAAAGGCTGCAAATGAAATAAGATAAAAAAAACTGCTTAATCAACTGTGACCTTTTGGCGTTTACTGTAACTTTAAACTGTGAGCTGTATTTGAAAGGATATGTTTGAATGATAAACAGCCAGTGAGAAAACAGGATAACTAACTGCCCTTCTGCTGCAGTCCAAGGGCAGAGGCTGCACTACGATTTCTTTTGGTTTCTAGAGATCTATCAAAACCAATTAGACATGGATTAGCATCCAATGTTGCTAATTATGATGCTAATTGGAGGGGAATACACAGTGGACATGTGAAGGAAGGCTGAGGCTGTGACTCGAATACTGACAAGCTTTCTGACTTCTATTTCTCTATTTATATGATGGCGCATCTATCTATCTATCTATCTATCCATCCATCCATCCATCCATCCATCCATCCATCCATCTATCTATCTATCTATCTATCTATCTATCTATCTATCTATCTATCTATCTATCTATCTATCCATCCATCCATCCATCCATCCATCCATCCATCCATCTATCTATCTATCTATCCATCCATCCATCTCTAACTTATTAAAGTAAACATAATTCACACACATTCATACTGTTTTATTGCCAAATTTTCTTAATTTGCATAATTTTGGAGTATGCATGTCTGAGTGTCAACTATTGTCACATATTTTGACCAAACAAATCAAAGTTTCTGACAGAATCTTATATTAAATGCATCTAACTTACACATACATCTCAATGTGTCTTTATCTGATCAACAAATGTGATTTCCGTGAATTGTTCTGGATACTGTCGTCATTTAGTCTCTGTACCGGTCCTGTTTTTTTAGTTATTTGACTCTGTGAGTTCCTTGCCACTCTGTCACTTAGTTGACTTTCAGTGAAGCTGCATGTCCCTTTTGCTCTCAAACAGCCTCGATTCTTGATGAGAAGTTAGAAAATGTCTTTTGAGAGCCCGCTCGATTGCACCGAATCATTTCAGCAGATTGATCAGCTGCACATTCACGCTGCAAATCTCCCAAAGGTGGTTCTATCATGGCGTGCCTTTTGTTTTGTGACATTATGCTGTTGAAACTACCCATTAGAAGACGGTGAACTGTGGACACGGACATGATCAGGAACAATACTCTTGCTTGATTGGTATTGAGAGGCCCAAAGTGTCCAAGAAGACATCCCCTTCATCTTCACACCAACCAGGAGCAGCCTGCACTGTTGACACTCTTCATGTTGGGTCCACGGATTCATGCTGCCGCCACTAAATTCAGAGCCTGTCGTCTGTGGCCTCAGCAGAGAAGGAGATTCATCTGTTTTTCCATCAACTGTCTGTCCAGTTTTGGTGAGCCTGTGCCCACTGTGGCCTCATATTTCTTTTGTTGGCTGACAGAAGTGCCTGATATGGTTTTGAACGCGTTGTGAGTCTGAGCTGTTTTCTTGCTCAGCGCGGTTGAATAGCTCAGTTATCTGGTGGAGTTACTGTAGTTTTTTTGTCCACAGAACCGGATGTTTTTTTTTTTTCAGATCCTGAGTAAACTCTAGTGACTTATTTTTTTGGCTCAAACCAGCCTGTCTGGCACCAGCAATCACGCCACGGTCGAGGTCACTGAGATCACATTTTTTTCCCTCCCTATTTGGATGCTGGACTTTTATGCAGGATTTTGAGCTCATCGCATAAATGTCTGAATAATCAGGTACACAGGTGTTGCTAATGAAGTGTTCGGTGAGTGTACATGCACTCTGGGATTCCAAAGCACTACTGGCAGGGACTAAAATGGCTGCTCAGTTCACCGTGTACTTTGTCAGTGCTAATAGTAATGAAATATTATGGAAGAAATATTGATTTCAGCAGCGTATATGTTTGGAATAATAGAGTTTTCCAGCACATCACTGATAGACATTAAAATAATTGTGATTCAGAGCTGGAAATAAACCAATCCTCCACTTATATGTATATTTTATAAATGAATTAAGTCTCTGCAAGAAACTCTGAGACCCATTTTCCATGTCGGTTCATTCCACTTTTGCTGGTCCCTAATGGCATCACTTTTTAAAAAAATTTACATCTGTTTTTTACATTTACCAGATAACCTGTCAATACTGCTTTGTATTTATCTGCCGATCTAAAGTCCTTTGAGCCAGTCGTGGGTGTCTCTACCCTCTGCTGATGTGTTTTGAAGATACAACACTTAGCTTGGAAGTTTCAGTCCTCACACTTTTTTCCTTTATCTCCTTTCCTGTGTCTGAGTGATAAGCCACTGTCCCCTGTGCCATGGCAGAGTTTCGCAGCCACTGCACACATTGTGCTGCACGGCAGGCTCTGCGTTGTCCCGCTGTCAACCCAGTTCAGGTATGATTCTGGGTTCTGTATTGTAATTTCACGTTGGAAGTCAGTCAGAAAAGACAGTGAATTATTTAGTCACAAGGTGGGCGGATGAAGTCAGCTAAAAGAGGAAACACAAACTCAAACCGCTGGGATGAGAAGCACATCTGCTGTTTGTTAAAAGATGTTTGTAGAGTTTCGTAAAAAAAAAAAAAAAAAGACTCTTGAGTACATCGCTAATGCCTTGTCTGATGCAGAACAAGATTCAGAAGCAAATAGGTCAGAATTTGTGTCGATAAATGTCCGTTTCCCTCTCTGACAAACAACATTGCCAATCAAAGCTTTGCAGGCACAATCGTTATGAATAGAAATGTCATGTTCCTGCGCCGGAGCGAGAAGACATTTGAAACAAAATGACTGAATAGAGATGGATGAGATTAGTGAACTTCTGCGGCTTCTTGTAAAACAGATTACAGTAACCACAACAGCTCTTTCGTGGACTGGATTCTTTTGTCAAGGTGACAAATATAACTGCTCCTAGCAACCACCACTGCAGCATCCGTGTTGGCTGAAAATGACTTGCATGCAGTGTTAGAAAAAAAAAGAACATTCTGTCTGTTTATCAGGGCAGAAAGATGATAAGGCATAAATCAATTTAAATTTAAATGTCTTCCCAGTATTCCAATATTCTGTCCTAAATTCGAGCGGCAAGGTGACTCGGTGGTTAGCACTGTTGCCTCATAGCAAGATGGTTGCCGGTTCGCGTCCCAGTCAGAACACCTGGGATCTTTCTGTGTGGAGTTTGCATGTTGTCCCCGTGCAGCGTGTGTTCTCTCTAGGTTCCTCCCACACAGTCCAAAAACATGTTGAGGTTAATTGGTGATTCTAAATAATCCGTAGGTGTGAATGTGAGTGTGCTTGGTTGTCTGTCTCTAAGTGTAGCCCTGTGATAGACTGGTGACCTGTCCAGGGTGTCCCCTGCCTTCACCCTGAGTCAGCTGGGATAGACTCCAGCCCCCCACGACCCTAGTGAGGATTAAGCAGTGTATAGATAATGGATGGATGGACGTCCTGAATTCTTGTCTCTTGACCAGCACTGCTTCCTCTTCCCTGTGATCTTTATTGTTTGATCTTAGGACCTTAATACCTAGTTCACAGATACCCTGGTATCTTTTCTATGCATTTTGGCCATTCGTCCACATGTAGTTTTGGGTCACTGGACATTGACCTTTTTCCAAAAAGCCTCCTGACGATGCATATCTCTAACCAATGTGCCAAAAGCTTCTCTTACTGTCTCCTCTGTCAACTCCTCAGGTTTTGTTTGACTGCAGCAACAGCAACCACTAAGTTTTCATCTGATGTGAGGACTCTATTTTATTTTGCTGGGGAATGTACAGAGCTATGCTGCTCTATCAGCGCACAAGGTCCACCTCAAGGATGACTGATTAATAGAGAGATGCAAGGCCAGAATGGTGGATGCATGAATGATGGTGAACTATCGTATATTTCAGTAATGCTCTCTTGATATTTAAAATCAAATATTCGTATAGCATATTTCCTCTCAGTCAATTAAAAAAAAAAAATCCATCTATGGTGCTTCTACTTTCCTTGCAGAGAAAAATAACAGATGGTGAGTTTGACAGGACATATACTAGGTCACGAAAACAGATTTGAAATTCTGATGCTGCCCGCTGCAGCACAACAACCACTGGAGCGCTGTAAACACCGAGCAGCACTAATTTACTCACCAGGATCAAACATGTGAAAGATGGTATGAAACAAGCCGATGAAAGCATTCATTACAGCGAGCGCCCAGGGTAAATCTTTGCAGCCGCAGTCAGGAGTTAAATGCCTTGCTCAAGGGAACCTCGCTGCGAGTTGTTAAAGTTCGAGGACACGCGCTGCCAGTGGGTCTGCTCACTCACTTAAGCGAGCTTTCAGTCATGACCTCAGTGATTTAAACAAAAAAAAAAGCTGCTGCAGTCTATACTTCGGAGACTCAAACCTACAGGGGCCACTAATGCACTACCTCTGCTGCTAGAGGAACAATTCCACCGTCTCTGTTGGTGGTGAAGAAGTCCCTCGACATTAGATGTGAATTTGAGCAAAAGTCAAATGCAAACCATTTTCTATTCATCTAAACTGCCCCCACTAACAACACTTGTACAAACTTCTCACTGCATCATCCCCATGAAAATACACTATTAGCAGAATATGTTTTGCAACACGGTGAGAACCGACACCACAATGGAAAACCTCTGCGTGAACCCCACTCGGGCAGGCCAGAGATTGCTGTGAGTATAGTTCTTATGTTGTACCCTTGTTTCTGTGGGTTTCCAAAGACATGCAGGACTCTGAATTGCCTGCAGGAGTGAATGTGAATATGTTTGTCTGCTCTGTCCAGAGTGGTGTGCTCTAACAATCATCTAATGCATGCTGAATGTGGCTTAGACGGACCTGAAGTGGCTAAAGATTATCTAATAAATATGGATTTATTCTAATTGGTATATAAGCATCCTGTTAAATATAATAACGTAATGTTCTGTGACTTTCCACAGCTCCTGCAAAGTTAAAATTGCACTGACAGTTTCGTACTATACTCACAAACCCCTTTCAGACATGCACTTGTTTCTGTCAATTTGATGGCGACTGAATGTGTTGGCTTCATGTCTAAATGTGCACTCTGGTCACTTTGCTGTTAAATTCTTACTGGGTTGGACCCAATATCATTTCTGGATCACTGTCAACAAGTCTGAACTGCACTCAGTCACATTACCGAATAGACACACGCTAGCAATAATAATTAAGAGACATTCTAGCACCAATATTTGTCCCAAAACAGCACACAGAGTCTCTCCTCAGAGTTTATTAAATACAGACAGCAGCAGAATCCACACTAGCGTATCCAAAGCAAGAGAGCTGCTGCATTTGTGCATGTAAAAAAAAACAGTCCCAGTAACTTATTTAATTACTTGTAATCATAAATTATCCACCAGATGGAGATAAGATCAGTCCAGGACTGAATCCAACAATAAGTTAGACTGTGTATTTTTATTCACATCAGACTAGTGAGCCGTCACACACCGTCAAAGTTTAGGTTGTTGCTTCTAGCAGTGGTGATTAAGGAAAGGCTTTTTTCCATATTTCAGCACCAATATTCATCCAAAGAGAGTCTTTACTCTGAGTTCATTAAACACCTGCAGCATCAGCCAGCATTAGGATCCATATGAGCCTCTCCAAAACAACAGGGTTGCACATATTTACACACAGAGCAATTGTAGTAACTTCCGTAATTAGTTGTAATTGTAAACTATCCCTGACATGGAGACAAAATCAATCAAGATCTAACAACAAGCCACACTGTTTCTTTATTTTTGGTAAAGCAGTAGTTAGATCACAAAGGACGGAGTTTTCAGTGTTGAGGGAATCATAAATAAACGAGGCTGTTATTGGGACAGTCTCACATGCAACAATGAGTTTAGATTTCGACCATTAGATTCAGTCTTTTGCTTGTTTTTACATTAGAATGCATTATACATGACTGAGTGCACTGTCTAGTCTCATGAGAAGGACAAATAGGGTTTTCTCCAGCACTGTTAGGGGTGTTAGAACGAAATCATGAGGAATATTAACAGCAGAGTGACTGATGTCTAAACCACAGGCTGTCCTGACTTTATCAAACAGATGATGCCAGCAATGTTAAGTATCCCATGTTTATAAGGGGATTTAGTAGAGACCAGAGGCCATTTAACATGAATGCAGAGAGAACCACAACTTAACATCCAAATAAGAGACTGACAGTAACATGATGTCTTCCTCATGCTCAGGTCCTCCCTCAGAGGGACTTTAAGGGTTCTGTGCAGTATCTTATGACTGTTGTGTTCTGAGCAGACACCTTGGATGTTTCTGGAATCTGTTTTCAACCACTTTCAGTTGTGTATCCCATTGGGACTTGGTTACTTCTGCCTCATACTCAGCACAGATGTTCCTGTGCACTATTCCAGTTGCTTGGCAATGCCTCTTAATATATGCTGCCCCATCTTACATCTTACACTCTGCTACTCAGTGCTGGACTGTCACCTCATGGGCAACTTTGCACAGCCTGCACCGTAGGTCTTGTCTGCTGTGGTAGAGCTCTGTTTCTATGATGCTCAGGACCTACTCTTTTGCTATCGAGATCTGAGCTTGAGAATCCTTCAGACCGACCCCTTCTAGTCACTGGTAGGATCTCTTGATGTCAGCCACCTCCTCTAATCTGCTGATGATACAATGCTCGGAAGGGTTTGGTCTTCCCCAATATTCCCTCCTTCTCTTCATTACCCTCTGTCACATGCTGTCTTATCAGTTAATCCTAGGGGGACCATCTTCCTGTTGTATCCATAGATGCTTCTTGTTCCATCCTGGATCATGCCTCCCACTGACACTAACACTCACCCCCTGGTCCTGATCACCTTCCCATGCCGTCACAAAAACCAAGTCAGAATGACGTCCTGATGTCTTTGCTGTAGATTGTGGTGAGATGAATTTGTTAGTTGGTGTCTTATTCAGTCCTGGCATTCGACTTGTTGTCACCCATGTTCAGAAGGTAGTTGTCGCTCATACCCCTTCTGAATCTGTATCACTCTTCGAGACGATCTGACTGAGGGGATTCAGGAGTATGCAGAACAGCAGTGAGGAGAGTAGAACACCTTGGTATATGCTGCATTTGATGGTGACCTTGGAAATGGCTTCCAGTGTTGTTTTTCACAGTCAACTGAGTTCTTGATTAGGGTTATTGAGGTTATCATTGCCCTGTAAGTCATGTATAGTGCCAAATACTCTAGTATCCATGTATATAGGTTCTCTTGCATTCAATCCAGGTGTTACTCAGGGTGGTCTGTCTAGTCTTAGAGTCTTGGATGATTGCTGTAGCTGAGGCTTTGACCCTCTGGTGTTGTTTCTAATGCCCTACTGAGCTTTGGTAATGTGGTGACTCATATCCCTATTTGTTGTGGTGAGGTAGGTTATCCGCCTGTTTGTGTTGCTAAATTTAAAAAACAAAAAAAAAGAAAGGGCATAAAACCAAAAGAGAACTCCTACACAGCTTTAAAGGGCCTTGGTTAACAGAACATCCCATCACAAGACCCCAGTGTGGTTCAACAAGTGTCTGCAAAAATGCAGAAAATATATACAAACATGAAATAGGAAAGTTTAGTGGGTGTCACTGAGGCCAGCTGCCCACTACAAGAACATCTCAGCTGCATATATGCAGTAAAGGCGAATCCTAGGTTTCCTTATCCTCAGTGATCTATGTCTATATGTTGCCACTGGCATGCAGCCCAAAAATAGAGATTGTGCAGCACATTCACAAAACAAGCTCTGTGACTGCACATATAGAGGAAAAGCAAAGTGGATGCTCTTTTTGCGCACTGTATGACCTACATACAGTACACAAAAAGAGCAGCAGTGCACTGATGTATGTAATGCTTTTCATATCCTTGATCCTGTTTTGCTTAGAAGTTTGCACACACTACTTGAAACATGTTTTCATGTTTTTCAGCCAACCAAAGAGCTATTTTTTCTGTCAGGAGGAGGTCATCATATATCTGCATCCATCCAGGACTACAGCAGGTAGATAGTGAATGGTTTCGTTTGATTGGGGAGCTATGAAGGTTGGGGACTGCACATTTAGCACATACAAACAAAGGAAGAGTTGGTGCCAGATGTGTCCATGGCACAAACATTGACAATATCAATGCCTCTCTTTCCTCATTAGCCCACTTTAATCCAACCAGCTCATTACTTGTATTATCAAGGGCAGCCAGAATAAACTGAAAGAAATGCTTTGTGTGAAGTCAAGAGAAGGGAAGTATTATGGTTTAGAATAAAGTTGCTTATTCATAAATCTTAAGGGGACTTTGCCATGGTGGTTATAGTCACACATAGTTTAAAAACACTGACATTGGTGAGAAACTGTTGATCCGTCCACCCATTCATAATGACATCAAACTGCTTCCTCCTGTTTGACAGGAATCATAATTACCCCAGAGTGCTTCATCACACAACAACACAGACGCGTTGTTTGGGGGGAATTTCTTCAATCTGATTCAGTCATTTTGCCGTTTTTGTCATTATCATTCTGTCAATCTGATTGTGTCATTTTTCTTAAACGATAGTCGCAGACATTCAAAGGTTACACGCCTATTTCACATTGTCAACGCTAATGAAGAGAGCTGTAGTTACACAACTGTCTCACCTCCTGTGTATGTAGGTGGTGAAGCTAAACACTGTGCTGACTTCCTTTTTTTCTCACCATCATATTTCACAGTCTACAGCCGAACTGGAGAAGTATTTATTGTTGTGACATCATTATGCATTGCCTTGACACAGGTCACTGACTCATCACTGAACTCATTTTCAGTCAGTTTTCTTGCCGGTGGAGGAAAATTCTGAGCATTTTGAGATGCACAGTACTTGTGTCTATGATTTTATTTTATTTTTTTTTACATTTCTATTGCTATCCTTAAATGTTTCGTCAAAAACTGCACCAATAGCGACTCTAGTGAAGGGAAAAGAGACTGTATGGGGAGAGATGTATTTAGAGTAATGAGGTGTCAACATATCAAACAATGAAAGAGATGAAAATAGAATGTGTGTGTATTTGAGTCTTGGCAAGTGAGTATCTTCAGGGATTTTTGAGCATTACTGACGCAGTCGAGCAAAACTCGGGTGAGCTAGTGTACTTTCTATTTTAGTAATGTACAATATTTAAATGGTAAATGGACTGCACTTATATCTACCTTACTGGCACGCAAAGCACTTTACGTTTTCTCATTCACCCACTCATACAGCAGTGGCGACTGAGCTGCCATGCACGGTGCTGCCTGCCATTGGGAGCAACTTCGGGTTCAGTGTCTTGCCCAAGGACACTTCCACTGTGGAGGGGTGGGGATCAAACCACCAACCTTACGATCAGAGGACTACCGCTCTACCACCTGAGCCACAGCCGCCCATAACAGATTTCTACAGTAACTATTTTAGAAGAAGACACTTGTATTATTAAATGTGTAGCTAATATATTATTAGTCAACTACACTCTTTACTGGCATGAATTTAAAAAGTGTTTTCTTGGTAATATAGTAGTGAATGTTTCTTTGGCGGTAAAGGAAAATCTGTAAAGCATTTTTAAATGCCTTAAAAGGCAGAGGGGTGTCGACAGGAACATTTATAACTACAAAACAACTTTGCCACATAACTGTGAGACCGACTTTAGTTTTGGTTAATGAGCAACTTCTTACACATGTAAATAAATTGCAGACACCAGGGGGCACTGCCGAGTTTAGGTAAGTATGACACGTCTTAATTTATAGCTTTGGTCTGAGGTCGATTTCCTGGTTGGTTCCAATGAACCAATGACCACTTTAGAGAAGTTTCTCTTTGCGTGAAAAAAATGGTATTTATGTTAGTTTTCTGTTAAGTTACTGTTAGTAAAAGTCATCACTTCCTAAAAAATGTTTCAAATGCATTGGTCTGGTGAGAATAGTGGTATATGCTGGCTGTGTTGGGTAAAGAACATAAACTTTAAAAGGTGCTTTGAGACACTACTGATACATTTATTTATTTATTTTTAAAACTTTACAGCTCTTGTGCTACATTTGAGCATTTCATCCAATCATTCAAATTTATGTCCACAGTTTAGATGGTGGGTGCTGATGTGAACTGTATTATTAAGCTGCTAATTGGTATTTTGAATAACTTTGAATGTCTTGAAGTTGTTGGGTTTGTTCCTACATCTTTTGCAACCAGTTGGCCAGGTGCAACCATCAGATATATCAAATTAGTCCATATAATTAAAATAAAATCAGTTCAAATAAAGAAACCTCGTGCACACATGAGCCATTACAAACCGTATCAGCTGTGACTTTATGCATCACCGCTGACATGTTCATTCAGCGTTGCTGTGTCCATGGGGCTCCGAGTCTGAGCCGGATGGGAGCCACATGACAGTTTTTGTCATTGCATTCTTTTTTACATTTGAAAGTCAGCTGATGGAAACAGACAAGCTTGTCGGCAAAATCTTGGTCTGATCTTAGAAATTTGCAGTTTTAAGTTTTATGCTTTCTCCTCTCCTTTAATATTTACAAAAAAGGTAGCAGCATCTGTCTCCTCTTTACCTTGAAAGAATCCCTGAACAAATAGCTGAGTCATAATCCATTTAAACGAAGGAACACCTGTTTTCATGTTGTCAATTTTTCATTTTGGCAGTTACTTTATGCTTTAATTCTCTGGAGTCCGGTTTTATTTGGTTATTATTTTTTTTAACAAAAAGTTCTGTTACCCCAAATACAGGCTGCACGGCTCCAGCTCCGGCAGTGGCTTTTGGCTGGTCCAACACTTCATGCATCAACCATCAGCACAGGTGTTGAACTGACATGTGTCACTGCGGGTTAACATGAGTCGCCACATCACCATATGCCATTGGCTGGTTCAGATTGCAATATCTCAACAGATATTGAATGGACAGCCAGTCACAGCCCCCCGGAGGATGAATTTTAAGGACCAGGTTCGGCTTTGAGAGAGCTCAGCTGATACAGAAATTGTCGGAACTTAAGCAGTTTGTAAAACTTGTATTCACAAAACGGCAGGAAATGCTATGTTGTGATAGCCTGGTGATAACAGCACCCATTTTGTCTTCTGGAAGAATTCATTATTTTGTGTTTTGCATGTATGAAAAAGTGACAAACAGAGGTGAAAAGAATAAAAAGACAGTCAGTGACAGAAGTTCTTGTTGCGTTACTATTAAAATTATTACTTGTGTGCCTTGACAAATAGGTTAAAGTGGTAAAATGCTAATTAATTCCATAAAACAGGACATTAAGATGATCAGTAGTTATCAATATCAGCTGATATAACACATTTTTTCTGCTTTTTTTTTTGTCCAGCTGTAATTTACCCTTATAATTTTGATGATCCCCTAAGTTTACATTTAGTACAACCCTAAAGTTACAATATGTGGCAAATCATTACCAAACTATTGGCATTTCTGTCCACTTTGGCAATGAAGCTGATTATTAGCATCAAAACATGCTAAGTCTAGAAGACTGGCTAAACATTTGCATTTTATCATCGCCCTTGTGAGCATGTTCTTATATATGGATGTTAGCATTAAGCGTAAATTACAGCTGTGTGTAAGTACAGCCTCATCGGTCCTCTGGCATAGCTTTAGACCGGCACACTGAGGCAGCTGCAAAATATCCACACCCACTGTTTTCAAAGTAAGCCTGCACATCAGGGGTAATTGCTGGCTGATGCGAGTTGCCACATCTTGATATGCCATTGTCCTGTTTTCGCTGCATCAACTGGAAAACAGCCAAGCTGCTGCTTCTCTCTATGCCAAGACATCTTCTTCACAGTGTACAAAGGAAAACTTATTGTTAAAATTGAAAAATCCCCGGAGCTGACCGAGCCACAGTCTTGGCATGTAAAGAGAATGCTGAAGACATTGGCTGGTGAACCATTATTAGATCCTGTATCTGTTCCTCGCTGTCGGTGATCCAGGAAAATGACACGCACAATCCAACATAGGACATAATTTGATGTCCCATTAACGAAACCCAGCGACGTGTGACTTACACAGATTAGCCACAGCATTAAAACCACTGACAGGTCAAGTGAATATCATTGACTATCTCATTATAATGCAGTAGTCTGCTGGGAAATCTTTAGTCCTTGTATTCGTGTGGATGCTACTCTGACATGCTACACCTATATAAACATTGTTCCAGAACATGCACAACCCCCCCCACATGTATCGACTTGGCCTCCAAACTGGAATCACTCATGAACCATTTAATATGTATGAGAGGCTGAAATATAACCATCAAAACCCAACCGGACTGTGAAGTAAATTTACTCCTGCCTTGGTGGTGAATGTCAAGAAAATACCTCTTTCAAACAGATCAATACAATGCTAGAAAACAAATACCTGCCCACTTAAATCAGAACAACAGGTCAAAATGCTTCAGTGGGCAGAGCAGGGAAAGAACACCAGAGCACAACCAGCCACATTTAATGAAAAGTAACAATTAAATACCACAGATGATGCTTTTTTTTTTTTTCCAACTTACATAAACCGCTGCTCCAGAAACTTTGTGTATAATCATATTCTGAGCACATTTCGCCTGGACTATTCAGATTTAAACCGCCCCTCCAAAAATGCGAAGTTCTTCCCAGGTAGTGATTGAAACCATGATGACTTGTTTTGTTTTAATATTCATTTAATACCACTTGGTCCATATTTTCTTCTTTGAATACGAGTTTTGATGTTTCTGTCGATCCTGCAGCTTTGACAAGTCTGATGGGATGATTTGACATTTATGGTTTGGTTGGATAAATAGGATTTGAATGCATGATCAGACAGGCTTCAGACTGATGTAAACATGTCCCAGTAAACAGCCCCAAGCTGTCAGGTGGTTTTGCCAACCTTACCACCCGACAAGAGCGTTTATATTTGGATAATTTGGAAGACTCAGACCGTACAGAATGTTAAAGATCAGGACTGCACAGCAGACACAATTATTATAGATTATAGATTATCTTATATTTTATCTTAAATCATGTTACAAATATTTCTGAGTGGGACACGAACGTCTCAACCAAACAGCTATTGGGAATCCATCCAGTCTTTATTACTTTTTCAATTTCATGGGAACATTTTTTATTTACAGTAATGTATAATATTTACTGCTTCTCTGGGACGCACTGGATTTTCCCATGTTATGTCTTTTTTAGTATGTTTTTTTTCTTCAGAGCAATATCTTATCCTAAAGGAAAGGCCTATTGGGGATTTTGAAGCTGAAAACAATAGTCTGGTTATTGCTTTGGCCAATACTGATATCCATCCATCCATTATCTATACACCGCTTAATCCTCACTAGGGTCATGGGGGGCTGGAGTCTATCCCAGCTGACTTAGGGTGAAGGCAGGGGACACCCTGGACAGGTCACCAGTCTATCACAGGGCTACACTTAGAGACAGACAACCAAGCACACTCACATTCACACCTACGGACAATTTAGAATCACCAATTAACCTCAACATGTTTTTGGACCGTGTGGGAGGAAGCAGGAGAACCCGGAGAGAACCCACGCTGCACGGGGAGAACATGCAAACTCCACGCAGAAAGATTCCGGTGCCCCCACCGGGATGCAAACCGGCAACCTTCTTGCTGCGAGGCAATAGTACTAACCACTGCGCCACCCTGCAGCCCCCCATACTGATATATTAACAGATATTATTAGAGTTTCCATATTATCAAACTTACAAATGCAAAAATAAATAAATAAATAAAATTTAAAAATATGAACAGTTACATATGAATAGACTATGAAGTATTTATTGTAACTTGTTTAGAAACTATTTAAATTTAGATGTACACGAGTCACTAAAGTAACTGAAATCCACTTTGCAGTGGGATTATACCTGCTGCAACAATGTCGACATTGTGAATCAATCGTTCAGCGAGTACTCCAATCATACCTATCTTTGATCATTTTGATCTCAACTACACACCTGTAAAATTTTGTGACTGCATCTTGCACAATTGTGCCGCTGTGGTCCTGGAGAATGGTCTGACTGCACCTCATTATCATTCAGCTACAGGGGGGGAAGATGCTGTTAGTGCTTCTTCCAACCAGTTACAATCATTTTGGGTGGCACTAAGCCCAGGAGATGGTGACAGTGCAAAATAGTGACATTCTGAACCTTTGGACACAGTAAGAAAGACATTGTCATTAAAATTCAAAAGGAAAACTAACAAAACAAGTGACGCTGCCTTATTGCACGATACAAATCTTCAGCACAACTTGCCATTTTCAGCATGTAGGTACCTGCTCAGAGGCTGTTGTTGTTGATTCCCATTGTGAAGGAGATTTTAAAGTGCAGATAGCTGAAGGGGAGGAGAAAGCCACGTGAAATTCACTTAGCAAATGGCAGACTTATACCTGAAGTCTACATCAAGTGAGTCAGACTACAGACATCCAGACACACAAACGCCGGTCAATGTGCTCAAAACTGCCCTTTTGCTCCTTCATGCTACAGCAGGTGTCTTCAGGACCACATTTTTTTTTGCCAAGACGACACACAGAGGCAGACTTGGGAGGTAAATAAAGCAGCAGTTACACTATTGAATAACTGTGACTCATCCTCTGGGGACCATGAATGTATCCTATTAGATAAGTGAAACCTTTGAAGTGCTGTGACATTTGAAGTGTCTGAGACAGACCCGCTGCAGGGAAAACAAGGGCAAGCATTACAACTGTTAGATAATTTACAGTGAGTGAGTGTGTAGAGATTGAATGGATGGATTTAGTGCATGATTGATGGACGGTAGAATTCACAGCAGAATAAATGAGTAAACACCACAACCGGTGATACGC